TATGATGTGTTAGACCTGCATGTAAAAAAACATTTAGTAAATAAAACATAAACATAAAATCGTTGAGTATCCCAAATTAATACAATGTAAGTAATAATTAGAAATACTAATTTAACTTGGGATTTTAAAAATTAAGCTAAAAATTACCGGCCATTGTTGACCAAAAATTAACACAAAATTACTAACACAAAATTCGCTTGATAGGGTTTTTTATTGATACGAAATTTTGTTTGTGTCGTATGATGTGTCAATTTATAATGGTAGATATCACAAATTTTAATTTAATTATAATTAACGAACAATTTGTATTTCTTATCATAAATACTATCAAAATTTATCTTATAATAATAGGTATCAAACTCTATTATAAGCGTTTATCATTTAAATATTTCTTAGTATATTTTTTTTTGGATTTCTTATACTCGTAGTATTGAATTAAAAATTTATCTTTTCCTATATTTTTACTTTATTTTTTTCATTAAAATAATTTAATTCGTGGATTATAATCTACATGGCATTAAAATTTTAGATATATCAAATCTAATTCGTTGCTTTTATCTAGGTGGCGACATAATTTTTTTAATTCAAAAATAAAATACAAATCTTTCTTCTTATTGGTCGAAATAAGTATATTTCTTACATGGCGCTCCGAATGCTCTTCAAAAATGTTCCCTCTGTTTTTTTTTTTTTTTTTTTTTTTGTGTTTTTTAATTGTAGAGGGAGTATAACACGACACGAATTGAACATGAAAAAAACGAGTTGTTGATAAGCATTTCTGACACGTTTTATTAAATGGGCCAACACAACATATTACATTAATTAAATGAGATTTCCCAACCCAGGTAACTTAGAACCCACGACACAAATGTTAGCCTTGTACATTCCCCCCTCGGCCCCTCTCCTTATTAGTCACTTCGTACAAGTATTACACGTTACTTATACCATTCTCGTGAAAAGTGGAAACAAAAATAAAAAGAAAGAAAAAGAAAAAAAACATTATAAAAAACATTATATTATAGGACGGAGTAAATAAATTTTCTAGATGTGGACTATGCACTCTAACCGATTGGGCTATTGGGCTAAATATATATGGGCTAAAATAGCATTGATGTAGTATAGGATACTGGGTTGACATGGAGTGTTACAGCCCACAGAAGAGCGAGTACGACTTATGCAAACTCTGCAAGTTGGGGCTTTGGGTATAAGGTTGTTTGGGCTAAGATGGTTGAATACAGTGAAAGCTTAAATCAACAATTTAACCAACTTAATTAGTTTGAAGCGTGAAATTCACATTATGTTGTTCTTATTTACTGAGTATCTATTCGTACAAAAATTACCATATTTTTTAATTTGATTAGATAACACCTTGAGAATAAGAGTATCAACTTGATTTTATTTATAGGAAGCTTGGATCTTTATTCCTCACACGGTCACACTTAGACCTGGCAATCCTGACCCGATCCAAATGACCGATCCGTGACCCGAAAGTTAATCTGAAACCATTGATCCGAAAATGACTCGAACCCGAACTAATCCGACCTCACCCAAAATGAAGTTAAACCGAACCGGACGAACATGACCTGACCCGAACTTGACGTGACCCTGACCCGAAGTGACCCGACCCGATTTAAACCCGAAGTGACCCGATTCCTGAAATGAATAGGGTGAAATGGTGAATTACTTATTTTAGGGCTTCTTTTTTCTCTAAGTAATAGGTACTCACAATTTTTTTTATTTTCTTAACGATTTTACTTTATTTTTCCAACTATTTTTTTTAAGTGAATTTATTTTGGTAACCCGACCCTAACTAGACGAAACCCAAACTAACTCGACCCAAATTGACTCGACTCGAAATTGAACCGACCCAAAATTGACCCGAAAATTGATCCTAAAAATTGACCCGACCCGAAGTGTGACTCAAAACCCGAATTGACTCGAACCCGACCCGAATATTTGCTAACCCAAAATTGACCCGACCCGAACCTAACCCGAACAAACCGTTTTTCGAGTCTAGTCACAATAAAGATATGAATCATATAATGTCATGGTACAAGTTTGATTAATATTGTACTCCCTCCGTTTTTAAATACTTGCTCCATTTTCTATTTTCGGTCGTTTTTAAATACTTGTTTCATTTCTTTCTTTGGAAAGTTTTTACAATTTTTAATTCAGTTCTCTCAACTAGTGACCCAACATAAATCATATTTTATTAATTTCATATTCTCTCTCCTCCAAATCTCTCAACTACTTTTTCTTTTTACAATTTTTATTCTTTCACCTACTCCACTACCTTCATATTTTATTACTTTCTCCAATTTCTCCTAAAAATCCGTGCATTAAAAAATGGAGCAAGTATTTAAAAACGGAGAGAGTAATCAAATGAAATGAGTAGATTCAATTTTGAATACTATATTTGTGTGGTTAATTTTACTTTTTGTGCTGGTGATTGATAAAGAGTGAATTAGAGGAATATACTTCGTATCTAATATGCTAAAGTACACACAAGAATTAGTACAATTCAAAAATTAAAATATGGATTGTCTCTTAGAAAATTAGGCATTCACCCTATATTACTATATATAACTAAATTTACTTATATTGTTACATTATCGTTTCATACCTCTACAAAGCAAGTTATTGATTGAACGTTGCTAATAACTAGGTTAGTTTCCGTGCTATGCACTATAATTTTCAATAATCATTATTAAACTATCATCATAATTAGTTTTTTATTGTAAAGTTGATAAATTTGTATCAAAATAAAGGATAATGAAAGATATGTTAGATATAAAATGATGATAATTATGTTAAGAATGTTTTTTTTTTTAAAAAAAAAAAAATTTGTATTAAAGATTTGTCAAATCTTTTTTGATTTTAAGTAATTATATTGTAATTTGTATAAGATTAGTGAATGATTTTTGTATAAGATTTGTTTCTTTAATAAAATTTTATTCAAAAAAAAAAAAAAACCCTAAGGACATACCAGGATATGACACGTGTCATTGCTAGTGTATCTTTTAGTATATAGGCTGATTGATTGATTGATGATGATTGATTGATCGATGATTATTGATTAATAACCTAACATATTTAAGCATTGCTTAAACAATTATCTTACCTCCACCTTTGTATAGTAAGTACTACGGAACATGTCTCCTACTCTCGTCCAATTCCATCGTTCTTTAGTACCAAAAAAAAGAAATAATGATGTAAAAATGATAATGACTTTAATTTTCCAAACCCTTTGTGCAATACCCTATTAGTCTATTACCCTTAAATAAAATTGAAGGTCAAAGACAATTATATATATTTTGGTTGGGCTAATTGAGTAATGGGCTATATGTGTATTTCTTAGGTGTTGTTTAGTTGATATGGGAAATGAGTTTCCATGAGAAATTATATTTTGTGGGAAGTAATTTTCCTTGTCCATTTCCTAGGATTTGACATTTGTTTGTTTGGTTAAAGATGTAGGAACTTAAATTTCCTAGAAAGTGATTTCCTATGTTTTATTAGTTAGCTTAATTATATTTTAATCAAGGGAACAAATATGAGAAATTAGTGCTGATAATACAAGTAGGCCCCACAATAACCATGGGAAATGTGACTTACCAAGGGGGGCTTGGTAAGTGATTTCCCATGTTTCATGGGAATTCAAACTTCCCTTGGAATTTCTATTTCCCCCAATTTGATACTTTTGTGTCAACCAAACAACACATGCCATATCCATTTCTTAGGAAATAGAATTTCCCATGTATTTTACCTCCAACCATATAACACCTTATATAGTCCATTATTTCCCAATTCAAAAATTAGTTCGTCCAAAATAATAATAATAATAATAATAATAATAATACATAAGGTTTTTCTTTAAAAAAAAGAAGAAGAAGAAAAAGAAAAGAAAAGAAAACTTAAGGTTTAAGTACATAATTTAGCATTTTTGTAAAAAAAATAATTATTATAATAATAATAATCAATAACATAATACCAAAACAGACACCAAGAATGACACGTGTCACTTCTTGATGCTGTTTATTTCCCTCCAAAACCTTTTTTTTTTTTTTATTTATTCACCTCCTTACAAAAAGTATTCACTTCTTTATATAATTGTGGTTCACTTCCTTAAAAAAATCACTAAATCATATAATTGTGATTCATTTTCTAAAAAAGTATTCACATATTTTTCATATCGTTTATTGTATAAGATATTATTCAATAAGATATTATATCAAGAAAAAATAATTTGAATGTAATGCAATCTTTCACTCCCAAATTCAGTAATAGTATTACTTAGAGATAATTAACCACACATTATTACACAATTTTTTGTATGCGGCAGGGGTTACTCGAGTTTCTCGGTCAGGGGTTACTCGAATTGTTGGGGTTACTCAAGTTACTTGGTCAGGGGTTACTTGAGTTACTCCTGACCGAGTAACCCCTCAAGTAACCCCTTACCGAGTAACCCCTCGAGTAATCATGACCGAACCCCTCGAGTAATCCCTGACCGAGTAACCTCTCAAGTAACCCCTGAATGAGTAATCCCTTAAGTAACCCCTGACTGAGTTACCCCTCAAGTAACCCCTGATCGAATTACTCGGGTAACCCCTGACCGAACTCCTTAAATAACTCCTAACCGAGTAACTCGAGTAACCCCTGACTGAGTAGCTCGAGTAACCCATAACCAAGTAACCCCCTTAATCGAGTGAACCCCTCGAGTAATCCCTGTCTGAATCCTTCAAGTAATCCTTCAAGTAATCCCTGACTGAGTAACTCTAGTATCCCTTGGCTGAATAACTTGGGTAACCCCTAACAAAAACTCGAGTAATCCCTGCCACATGGTGTGGCCTATTGCATCAAAAAGTTGTTGACATTATTATTATAAAGAAATTCATAATTTAAAATTAACTTAAAATTAAAATATATACCTAAAATGTATGAGTACAGCTTAAAATTTCTATTGAAATAATGTATGGAATATGAATACCTTGTTGTATACAAAGTAAATTTATATAAAAAAAAATAATTTAAACTACATATTATTATAAATCTTTATAATATTTGGTAAAATCGTATGTAGGAATTTAAGCCACTAATAATACATAACTTAGCATAACCCTTGGTCATTTTCATCAACATTAAATCCAAGCCCACTATAAATATCACTACCTTCATATCTTTCAATTTCTCACACTCCCTTGCTTCTTAAGCAATCCCCATTTTTAAACCTCCTTCAATTTCTCTCTCCTCTGTTTTTTCTCTTCCGAAAATTGCCCAATTATGGATTCTGGGTTTTCTTCAAAATTCTAATTGAAATTAGGGTTTTGGTTTTCCTTACAAATGTCTCAATAATACACCCTCAAAAAACAAAATTTCTCCTATTTGTAAAAGAAAAAAAAAAAAAAAAACCTCTGGTTTTTAAGCTTTTTTCTGTCATCAATGGCGAAGTTTGTGAACTCGTTCGCTTTACTCGACGGCGACGTAGAGGATGATGACGTTGAAGCTCTTTTCAATCGCATTGTCAACAAAGCTTTTGACTCGTTGATGCATGCGCATAATGAGGATGAAACTTCAGGTTTTGCTGATTTTCTTTTTGTTTTTTAATGATCTTTTTAGGGTTTGAGGGCTAAATTCAACGTTTTTTATACACTGTGTTATTGGTTGTTTAATTTATTCAATGTTGTGGGTTTAATATAATGTTATGTTTCTTTAACGTTTGACAAATTTCTTTCTGTTTTTTTTGGAATTTTTGTAAAATGTTTGCTTTTTAATCATGTTTAGGACTAATTTATTTGTTTATTTGGAAAAAGTTATATGAATTTATGAATGTGTTATTTGCCTGTTTAATAATCCATACTTACTTTGTAAAGAGATTTGTTTATTATTATATTTGATATTCACCTTTTTTATTTGATGTTCTTGTTAGTGATTCTATTTATTGGATTAGAATTGTATAATTGACACCAAATACTCATTTAGGCACGTCTAAACTGACCCGACTTAGATTATTGTACCCGAATTATATAAGTAGGGCTTTTCTTGATTTAATCTTTGATAACTATATCAAATTGTTTGTGCCAATATATAATTGACCTCAATTAGAAATGTCAAAACTGACTTCAATTTCTTGATTTCTATTGGTCGTATTGCCAATAGTAGATACGAATCTTGTTACATGGAGTTTAAAGATTTTGGATTTTATATGATTTTTAAGTTATTGCTTTATGCTATGGGATTTGGTAAATCTTTGGTGATCACTGATTTATGTGTTTGCTTCTTGCTGTTTGTTGACTTATATCAGCCCGCAATGGTAGTGGTGGTAGGAAAGGAGGTAAAGGCCATTGGGTTGGAAGCCGTGATGATAGAAATGGTTGGGACGATGATATACAGGGAGGTGATGGACTTGAATGGAATCATAGTAGAGATTCTTATGGAAGTGGGGATGCAGTTGGAGATGGAAAAAGCCTTGATTGGGGTCAAGGCCATGGTAAGGATTCCGGTGGCGAAAATAGGTGGGGGGATGATGTGAATGAGGCTTTTGGTGGTGAAAATGGGTGGGGTAATGTGAATGAGGCTTCTGGTGGCGAAAATGGGTGGGGTAATGTGAATGAGGCTTCTGGTAGTGGTGACAGTAATATTCAAACTGTAAATGATGATGCTGGGTGGCAGAAGGTTTCAAAGAGTCAAGGGAAGGGTTATGCTGATAATGACCGCGCTTTTGGAGTTGAGCATGGTTACAAGAATGGGAATGATGTTGAGGAGAAGAGAGGTTACGGGGATCAAGTTCAATATAATGGTGCTGCAGATGGACAGAGGCAATTCAGATATGGAAACCAAAGATATGGCGGTGAGAGAAGAGGGTATGTGAATCAAGGTCAGGGTAATAATGCTGCAGATGGACGAAGATACAGGAATGGAAGGCGGGGCTATGATGGTGAGAGGAGAGGTCATGAGGATAAGGTTCAAGATAACAATGCTAATTCTGAACAGCATAGTATGGAAGTGGATGTAAGTGAAGACAATAGAACTGGAGGTGAAGAGAGGAAATACAGAAATGGAAACCGGAATTGTGGTGATGAGAAGAGAGTTTATGGTAGAAACAGGGAAAGAGGTAGACAGGATTACAGAAGGACTGATGGTGGTGAAGGGAAGGAGACTGTCAATGCTGATGATGGGCATGATTTCAGAGCTGTACATGTCAATGGTTCTGGAGGGTAAGTAACTAAGTACTTTTACGAAGATTATTTGTCATTGTGTTTTCTGCATGCTGCTTGTCATTGAGGTTCATATGTCATTATGCTCTGAATTATTTGCTTCTATTCATATGTTTCAAATATAGAGGTTCATGATCATAATTACCTTGATGGTCGTAAGTCAAGGTATTTTTGCATATGTATATTGGTATATTATACGAGTAGTATTTAAATTATGTTCTAGGGATTTGTATGACTTTGGGTTAGTGTACTGCTCTGCAATCTCTTATTGTTTGAGGGAGATATCTCAATATGCGGAAGAGAGGAAGAGTTAGTGGTCACAACTGAAAGATAAGGAGTAGGGAGAGAGTGAAGCAGTCACATATCTTTAAATTTTTTGAGGATCTTATTTCAGATTGATCTTGTTATCACGCATCTGAGTGTATGCAAGCACAAGCATTTTATCATCCTCTCGTGGCTCGAGTATTTGCAATTAGTATAAAAGTACTATTAATTTCATCTATTCATTTAGCATATGGTGAAAATGAGATTTTATTCCTAGTTTTTCAGTTCATTTAATTCTTTATTAGTCAGGGGTCAAGAAGTTATGTATTCATGTTTGTCTATTTGTTTAAATGGTTCAACAGTGATGCTGATTTGGTTTGGGAAGCCTCAAAAGCTGCAGAAGTTGAAGAACATAACATTACTGAAGAGGTCTCTGAAGATACTCGAGTCTCAAAGGAGGATACAGAAGAGCAGAAAAAGAAAACCGAACTTGAGCTTAAAAAGAAAGAGGAGGAAATGAAGGTATACGTTCTGGTACCTCAGTAAGATGGCATGTTTCTATGGCTTAAAGACTAATTAATCTTCCCCTTTCACAATTACTGTCATTTAGGAAGCTGCACTCATGACTCTAGATCAATATGAAAAACTGCTCTTAGAGAAGAAACAGGCGCTGAATTTGCAGAAGACAGAATTGAGGAAAGTGTCTATTGACAAGGAATTGGAGGGAATGCGACTGATTGAGAAAAAGCCTGTTGCTATCAATGATATATGGGTAAGAGTTTAATTCTCATTTTGATTTTCGGTATCTCTATGTGGAGACGTGGAGTTCAGTTTTGAGTATTTGTTGTTTTGAAATGTTATGTAGAAATCTGCTAAGGACAAGCAAAAGATGAAAAATAGTCCCAAGAATCAAGCATCAGAAACTTCAAAGACAGAAGACAATGGAGAGGTTACTGAGAGTGATGTCAATCTGGTGAGTTGGAGTTTTGATAGTTTGCATTCAGAACTTAATTACTTGTATGGCTTGATTTTGATCTTTAAAAATGAACGTTTGTTAAATTTTTATTCCAGATATCCGAGGAGGAAAAGCTGCAGAAAGATGGAAGTCTTGAGAAGAAGGAAAAGAGCCGTAAATTTGTGGTATATACAAGCTAGTGAGATTGATTGTCATTTTTTTGAATTCTTCATGGTAGTTGGTCAATGAATCTAATAACTTGCCTTCCTGAGTATCTTTAGATTCATAGTTGTCGTTTTTGAGCAGGCTGTCGAGGTACATGAAATCTTCAAGCCAACTTTCCATCGTCGGAGTTCTGGTGGAAGGTGGCAAAGTCGTGGTGGTCGTGGTGAGCAAGGTGGCTTCAGTGACCGGACTAACAGTGATGCTGCTGCACGCACACCTGCACGTGCTCCTGCTTCTAGGCACCCACGCATTCCAACGGACAAAGATTTTCCTGTCCTGGGTGCTACTCTTCCTGCTCCTGTGAAACACTCAGCTTAGTTTTCGTTCTTCCTAGTTAATAGACCTATTAAGACAGAAATATTAGTCCTCTTTAGCTGGTTGTCTAGAATCCTTAGGCTTGGCTTAAACATTATAGTTTATACAAAGTGATTGTTTTAATTGTTATCCTCTGCTGCTGGTTATCTGTGGTTAAGTTGATGCTGTATGTTCTGAAGTTCCTTACAGTACAGGTTCTGCTGCACTTGAATCGGAAGTTTTGGTTACTTAAATCAGATTGTTTGTCTAGAAGTGACAAATTTCTTTTCTTCTGAAGTTCGTTCATTTGTCTTTCTTGTGCTAGTCTTAACAGTGTTATAAGATCACAAATGATATAACCTCTAATAAAATTAAAATGAAGTAGACATTTGGAAAATAGTTGAACATTTTTTCAAAAAAAATATGGAAAGAATCAAAGAAGCATGTTTTATTTTAAATCTTTGTTTTGCATGGCTTTGTGATTTTATTTTTGTTATATTTTATACAAACAAGTTTATCATGCAATACAAATTAGTGATTGTTATTCAAGTAATAATTATGCTAGTATAGGAAAGAAATAAGTATATACAAATCCTCAAATTGTGCTTAAATTAGTGCATAAAATACTAATTAGGATGTTGATGATGCTATCAAATCAAGTCAAGATAGACTGCCTCGAAAATATTTGAAAGAGAACTACAAGTATTAATTTAGTCTAGGTTTATATAACTATGCTAGGATTTGCTGTTGTCTTAGGCTAATAATTTTACTAACAAAAATATGGTTATTATACAAAGACATAAGAATATAATTCATCACAAAACCATTTTACAAATAACAAGTGACTGTGTCTAAGTTACCCTTTTATGTATTTCAGTGGCCCTTTTAAAAACTCTAATTTATAATGATTTGTTTCACAACAAAAATAATATCTTATGTTAAATGGAATAACTTCATTCAAAGTAGGTAGATTTCACTATATAAATATTGTGCACTAGTTCATTGCTAATCGTTTTCTTATGGAGACCTTGAATTGAGGTTTGAATTAAAATGGTTAATTTGATCAATAAATAATAAATGGTGGGGAGGGAAGTTGTAGATAGTTATCACAAGGCTAAAGTGATAAGTGAAGGGCCAAGTATTAACTTATCTTGATAATATCTCCTTGATTATCAAAGAAGAAATTTCAAATGCAAAATATAGAAATAATGGACTTCTACTTGAGTCAGAGGATATTAAGAAATTATTTTACAATCATGTTGAATATATCCTAATATCCTACATTACTCACTTATGACTCTTATGACTTTATGACGGGGTAATTGATAGTCATTGATCTTTCAAAAAAAAAAAAGTTAGATAGCCATTGATAGGGTGAGATAGTCCGATAGAAACAATTAAATAACATGAATCAGAACCATGCAAAAGAGAAATGATACATAATGTAGAAAAGAAATGGAGTTACATTATATTACTTGGGAATGGAGCGAGTAAAGTTAAAATGGAAATGTGGAAGCCAACAAATCAAAATGAAGTTTAAGTGAGTATAACATAATATGAAGTATATGGAAGTATAGAACATTCCAAAACGAAGATCAAGTACATTTAAGAATAAAGAGAGTGTATATTAAGTATTAATACAATATGTTCAACGTATTTCAGTTTCCACTTTTGCAGGTCACAGAAGTGTAAAGGATTAAGCCCAGAGCATCTTATGACTAATGTCCGTGATCAAATATGTCAATTTCCTTATTTATATTGCCAAGCAGGCTAGATTGTTGTACCCCCTATTTTTAGTCTAGGTCTTGTGTTAGTATAGCTAAGAGAGCTAAATCCTCTCCTTGTTTTACTTGTAGTCTTGAGTCAGTTGGGAGCTAGCCTCCTTTTTAAACCGTTGTAAAAAAAAAAAAATTGTTAGGTTACTAAGGATAGGGTGATTAAACAAGAGGTGGATTTGCTAGATTGTTATCCACATGAGATTCTAACTTTATAGCCATAATCAATAACCTATAATCTCGAAAGCAATATTTTCTTATAGCATGTTTATTTCGAGTGTTTTTCTTTATAGGTTAATTACTCGAATATATTAGATCTAGATATGTACAAGAGCTAAATCCATCTCCGATTTGAAGGATAATGGTTTTTTTAACCTTTATGGTTGATAATTATTTTTATTGTGGTAAAAAGAAAATTGAATATAGATAAAATTATTAATGTCAGATTGATGACATTTTTTATATCGTTCAATCTTTTTTTTTTTTATAACATAGCATAAGAGTTGTCAATCACAATGCATGGTTTGACTGATAGCATTATACGGAGTAAATAATAAGTACTCCGTGTATGGTAAAAGAAATGAAGTTAGGTGTAACTTGGCAAGCAAAGTAACATCCAAAATCTTAAGCACAGCAAATCAACAATAATCTCATCTCAAACTTGCATTTCTCATCATATATCCATTACCAGTCTTACCACCCATAACAATAATCACCCCTTAATGATACAGAGTACGGAATAATGAACGATAAATAAACTTAACATTGCCATTATCATCATTTATTATTGTTCTTAATCGACGAGTCATAAGAGTTAACCAATCTCATAGATAAATGCATACATGGTACATCCAACACTTGATCCGATCCCCGGCAAAACAGGACAAGTAGCTTTCGTTCCCTAATACGGAGAAGGCACAAAACCTTAACACACCACACCAAAATTCGAAAGAACGCCCTTAAAAAAGAGGGCAGAATAGAATAGTTTGCCAGTTTCTAGACACTATTGTACTATAAGATGTGGGTTTCTATTCAATGGTCAATCGTCATTTTCGTCAACGGCAACAATACAAAAACAATATGCTCTTAATTAAATTATTTAGAAGAAAAAAAAATAAAAAAATAGAATAAGGTCGAGTAGAAAAGGTCACTTGACCCCAAATAAAAAAATAAAAATGTGATTGGTAGTATTTAAAACAGCCATTTGGCCATTAAAACTTGCCCAATCAGGTTACTCTAGACAGCTAGCTAGCTTGATAATCTAACGCATTATCCATGTTGTGCTAGATTTATATGTCACTTTCAACTTTATTTTATTATGTTTATCTACTTATTGACTAAACCATAACTCTAAAGGATAAGGAAAATATACCTAACTGCATGCTCATAATATATTCATACTTACGTTTTAATTTTTTTATTAAGTAGTCTAATAGAGACTCTAATCATATAATTAAACATATAACTAAGTAGTATGATCATGATTAATATCTGGTTATGTAACGCTTACTATTTCAATCACTAAAGTAGCTTAGTGAGTAATGTAATGTAATCTATGTACTCAAGTACTCATCTACCAAGAAAATTATATTGTACTTGTATATTACATTATTACTCCATTGAGTATTATACTAATGAGGAATTCTTCCTAACTTTTTGATATATGATCACCTAATACAAATCTAAACTTTATCTAAAATGACATGCATGATATAATTTTACATGAATTGAAATTGAACGAGCTAGGGTTGATCAATGTGAATGATATAATACCTTGTTGAAACCCATGTATGTATTATACACGTGAATTATATCACATTATAGAGGTGAATATATGATAACTACCTTATAAGTTTGAGGAAATCTCTCTTCACCTCAAAATAGATCTTATACACTTACATATTTTCATAATCTGCATGCTTAAAACACCCTTCTTCACGTCCCATAATATAATGCACATATCTCTATTTAGGGTCAAACTTAAATTTTTTACCAATAACATTAACATTTTTAAAACTAGTTATGTGAGATATCGCTTGATGGTTTCAATGTTTATTTTTATAATATCAATTTTTTTTTATAATTCTTTCTTAATGCGTAATCAAAGATAATAGCGGTCAAATGCGCATCTTAAAAAACACAAAATAAATTATACACTCTATTATAGGACGAAGGAAGTACTTGTAGTTTTGTTTGGGGAAAAGTTTATAATACTTCTATGTCCGTACCACATTGAAGAAATTAGGGTCTCATCACGCCCACTTCATTAAAAATCAAAAACAATACTGTAATAACAAAGTCTACCATGGTGGTTTTTTTTATTATTTTTTATTTTTTTTTTTATTTTTTTTATTTTTTTATTTATAAGTCTACTTTTCAATAATAATAATAAAAAAAGGAAGAAGTATATAATTTATCTGTTTTTTTAATTACATTTGATATATTTTATTACCCTAGTTTCATATTATTTGCTAACATTACTAAAAAATTGTTGTTACACATTATGTGCAAATTAATTTTTTTTCCTTTTTAATTTGTCATTTCTTTCCATCTTTCTCCTCATAAAAAAAAATCATTATCTTCTTTTCTCTCCATTCAACACTTCCAAACACATTTTGCCTTTGAGCCTATGCAAACTCATTTTTTTGCTACACATAAATGAAACACTGTAAGGATCCCCCCCCCCCCCCCATTATTATAACATATTTTCTCTTTTTCATTCGTTCGTATCACATAGACGACAAATTTGACATTCCCCATTTTTAACTTTTTCTTAAATCACTATTACAAAATATGGATAAAGAACCAATGATAAGAAATCACAATTATTAGATAAGGGGTTGCTTAATAAAAGAACCTAGTTTCTCTGATAAGGGGTCTCTTATACAAGTGTATAATAAACCCCTTTTGAAAAAATGTGGTTCCTTATCTAAATATATAAATTCATTGCTATTTAAGGAACTACTTTTTATGAAAAGAGGTTTCTTATACAGAATATTAATCCAAAACTATTTCTAACCCACCTTATATTAATTAAAAACCTAATTCTAACCCTATTATCATACTAGTTATCGTCAATTCACCCCTATGAACCACAACCGCCCCACCCTTTCACTCATCTCTCTTCTCCTTCTCTTACAGTTCTAATTTCTTTTCCATTTAAGCGCGCGTCCTCTAACCCTCAATGAAGCGGATCTCAAGCTTTATAGGTAAATGTGTTGAGCACTCATAGGTAAATGTTATCAATTTGTTATTGTAATTCGTTTTTTTTTTCAATTTCATTTCTGAATATTTCGATTTTGTGCTTAATCATCTTTTCATGAACTTTTGTTTAAATTATTTAATTTCGTTTTTAGATTAACTTCTGCAATTTATTGAAGTACCCTAAATCAAATTTCTCTAATTTTCATTTTTCAAATTATCAAGTTTAATGGCGGAAGAAACTGGTTCCCAGCTAGCTAACTGTGTTAATCCCGCAACAAGAACACATTTAATCGGCTTAAAGTAAGTTTGTTTGTTTGTTTTTTTTTTATTTAAATTTCAGATTTGATGCTTTTTTATTTGATCGATGAAAGTTCACAAATTGTGAATTAATACTGTTTGTTCAAGGAATTGGAATGGGTTTGATTGGAGTTGATTAGCCTTGTTTGATGTGCATGTGTTAGAATTGTTGTATGCATGCTTGATTTTGTTTTTGAATTAGTGGGTATTTGTTGAAACAACAACTAAATTAATAGGATGAAGAAGTATAAACTTTGAAATTTGAATAAAAGAATTGTGGAGGAAAGATAACAAACTCAACAAAAAATTGTACGCTAAGTATTTAGTTATTATGAAACTACTCATTAACAATGACTTTGTTTAATTTCCTAATTCATTTGTTGCAGACTTGTAGTTCCAATTGCATATCATGCCTATCAGTTTTTTATTTCAATGATGATGGTGTAATCTGCTATAATTGCCTTGAGAATGATCCCTAACATATGTTGTTATGATTTGTACTACTGTATTTTAATTTTTTTTTAGCCCCTTTAAGTAATTGATGCATATATGGTTCATCTATTCATTTGCAGCTAATTGAAAAGCAATCTGCTTTAATCCTCCGTTTTTCAGTTAATTTAAGTTTTGACATTCATTTCTTTTTATTTGTTGTAAATTGTAACCTATGATTATTATTATTTTTTTATTTTTTATTTGAAGGAAAGATCAATTCATTAATAAGAAGTCATACAACATCTACAAAAGAGATCAGAAACGATAATTACAATGAAAATTGAATCAAATAACAATTCTAATTCTGTAGAACTACGATCGAGAGTGAGATTTGAAATTGGTGAATACCCTCGTTTCTTGAATCACTATCCTCTACAACCTTCTTCTAAAGGGGGCCTTGCCATTTTTGATAGTTTTTGAATTGAAAAAAAACCTGATTCAATTAATTGTAGTCGGTGATCTAACAACTGATTCAACGCCGCACGAACCACCACCAAAAAATTAGAACTTCCGATGACAAAAGAGAAATCATCTACACCGATCAAGACCATCTTAAGGATGGGATCTATTATTATTATAAGCGATTAAAAAGGGATTTTGGGGCTTACCACTGATCAACAAACCAGTGGTAGCCCCTACCAGTAATCACAATGGAGATCAAGGAGAGAAGGATGAAGGAGGAAAAAGGGAGAAGAGAGAAGATTGAAGGAGAACCCAAAAAAAAACTGGAAAATTCCTAGCAAAAAATTAGGAAAAAACACCCTTTCAAGCAAAAACCTAGAGAGAAAACCCTAGCAAAAAACTAGGAACCATTATCATTAATCTGGTGAATTTTGTAGGTGAAAATTTATATTCAATAAAGGATATATGGTTGGAGCTTTATCAATTTTGTTTGGAGACAAATATAATTTCTTTAGAGGTTTTAGAAGACCAGTTATTGTAAATGTTGTTGATTGTGTTTAGAATTTTATAGTTATATTAATATTAAGTGTAAGAATTTTACATATTTGTGCATGAATATTATATGGAGTAAGGAGTTTGAAAATCGAAGGGAGCGCAATATGTAGGAATATTGTATATATTGTGGTATAGCTATCGTACATACCATTGTATGTATTTGATAGTTATATTGCAATATATATGTATATATATTTTGAATTATGAACAAATCAAAGAAACCCCTTTTCACTAAAAGTGATTTCTGTAATTAAACCAAAGAAACCACCTTTTTCCTAAAATGTGGTTTCTTTAATGTTATAATAGAATAGTTTTAGCAGTACTTAAGAAACCCCTTCTCTTAAAAAGTAGTTTCTTAAGTTGAGCAAACTAACCCCTAAAAAATATGGTTTCTTAACCTAAGAGACCTCTGAGCTTAAGACCCCCTCTAAAGTGGTTTCTTAGGCTAATTTTAGGGGGTTTCTTTTCATGTTTTTGTAGTAGTGAATCTCGTGCCCATACCAAATAAATTGTGCGCTTAAAAAAAAAGGTATCGGTTAAAAAAGCTAACTATATGTCAAGTGTCAAACTAATACCACGAACATAATATAATATATATGAGCTTAATATTACTATTTTGCACCACCAATAATTGATTATAAAATAAAATCTTGTAGTATAATCTAATAATCATGCGGTGATCAGACTGCGCTAACACCTCGTTTGAAATACTTTCTCACGATAATAAAGAGCATATACCACAAATCCACAATGGCATATTCCTTTCCCTTCTATAAACGTAGTAATGTGATGCACTCTACATGCCACCAACAACAGCATAACATACATAGCAAAAGATCTAATTAATCATTCATATAATTATTCACGACGAGAACACTTAGTTATGTGCAAGGAAACCCCATTATATAAACGACAACATCTCAAAATCAATTAACAAGCATAGTGTAGTATTGTCAATGATAATCTTAGGAATAAATAAACAATTATAAGGGGACCACTAATTATGTGTACAAAGTTCAATAAATATTTTTGGACTGACAAGAAATTTAGTGTTAGGATGGATAATTCTGGACCCAAGATCCGGATAATTGACTGATGCCATTTGGACACCCGTTTTTATTGTCACTTGTAAAACAAGGACTACTAGAAATAAACCTCACGCTTTAAGGGTAAACTCACTTTACCGTACTTCATCAATAGGCTTCTGGTTGGACAAATCGTTTTCGCCCTTCGCTCTTGTGAAGAGTTAGGGTGTGGACCCCACTTACCGTCACCTTATAATCCCAATTGCTTTTAAATTTACCCTCTTATTTGTACGGATTACTAAATTTTATGAAAGAATCTGTTCATTTTAGATTTTTAAGGATATTTTGATATACATCACGAGTATTATACTTTAGAAAGTCATAGTTGGATTATCAAAAAATGAACATGTTGATTTGTTGAATGGGGTTGGTTTTGTTACTTTATTTTCCATTTTAAAATAGAGTAAGGATAAGACAGATATTAAGAGTTGGTTTATATTTTAAAACTAAGTAATTTGTATTCCGTATTATAATTAAGTCACTACGGAGTACATTATTATGGTCTTTTAGAGCATTCATTGACATGCATAACCTAACTTCAAGAACATGGAAGTGTGGTGAATCGAATGGGGAGTTATAAAGAGTAAGAATGTAGACGAAATCTATAGGTGTTGAGTACCGCTCTCAACAACTTAAACCAAGTAAGCTAACATCTACGGTTAATTATTGTTTTAGTAGAATGTAGATGTAAGAAAAATTAATGTGGTATAAATGTTTTCATTACAACCATATATTTTTATAAAACTATGTACAAATAGTCAAATACAAATGAAGTAGTACATTGTTTTAAAATTAAAATATACATTGTAGACGTCTAGGAAATAAATTGAATACCTACAAAATATACCAACTAACTTTCAACATCTGATTAAAAATATACGTAATAAATAGTTAAATACTTAACCATTATGACATAACTTTTCATATTGACATCTAAGCCAATTAATTTCTTTACATACAAAAATTACAATAAATATGATTTTTATGAGCCTCAATGAAAATCCTCTCATTTAAATACCGAATACAACGTATAGTGTAGGTAGGTTAATACCATAGTTGTAATTTTATGAAATGCACCTAAAATCCACGTGGCAACCCATGCCCTTATTATTCAAAGCACATTCCCCCTACCCTTAACTCCATAACAAAATCCTTTTCTCTCTCTCTATCCATTGTCCATCCACCTCATTCCTTCCCTTCTGTCGCATATGCCTTTAAATCTCCAATCCCCCTTTTTTTTTTTTTTTTTTTTTTTTTTTTTTTCTTTTTTTAGGATATCCTCTCTCTTCTTCCCCCCTTATTTATTATACAAACCCCCACACATTTAATTATATATTTATATTACCCAATAGTCCCTTTTCTCCTTTGTTTTATCCTAATTTTTCTCACACTTTTTTTTTTAAAAAAATTTATTTAGTCCTAATATTTCAACACCCTCCTTTATAAATACCCGTCCTAAAATTCTTTCCTTCTCATTTCATTACACACAACTACCAAATCCAGTCCAATACAACTAAACATACATAAAAATGGCCGTGAATGTGAGAAGGTGTAATAAACGAGTAACGGACCCTTTCAATGAAAGGGTCCGTGCTAGAATTTTTAGTTCTATTAGTAGTACCACTAGTAGTAGTGGGAGCGAACACGACGCCGAGATTGACGTCGTGTCCAACCCCTCATATTCTCTTTCCTCCTCCGCCTCTACCTCTCCGTGCCTATCCCACCTCGTACAAAACTTTCTCGAAAACGATAATTCCCCTTCTAATAACACCACCACCACCACAGCCGACCCCTTCCACACTCGTGACTACTCGTCCGACTCCGAATCGGACGAGCACCTACGGTCCGACCCGGTAGCAATGATTCACGACGTCGTTAACCCGATTATTTGGAACAATGCGGATCAATTCCGAAACCAGCTTCTCTCAAATGTAATCAAAGCAACTAAGATTTTTTCCATTTTTCGAAGCAAAAACAAATCGATTTATAATCGGAATTTAATGGCGTACCTTCGAGAAATCGGATACAACGCCGGAATTTGCAAGACAAAATGGGACTCCTCCGCCGGCGGAACCCTAACCGCCGGAAATTACGAATTTATCGACGTAATCCGGCCAAATTCAACGGTTAGATACATAATCGACGCCGAATTTTCCGGTGAATTTGAAATCGCAAGAGAAACGGAAAATTACAGAATACTACGAACATCATTACCTAGGGTTTTCGTCGGAAAAGTTGAAGATCTGAAGAAGATCATACGGCTATTATGCGACGAAGCTCGAAGATCGATGAAGATCAACGGCCTTACTTTGCCGCCGTGGAGAAGGAATCGTTACATGCAGATAAAATGGCTTGGTGCGTATCGTCGGACGACGAATTATTTGCCGTCGTCGACGGCGGATTCTACGGCGGAGGCGTCGAAGTTCGCAGTGAAATGTCGGTCGGTTGGGTTTGATGTTACCGGTAATAGTGGCCGGTTTTTATTTCCGACTAGAACACGTTAGTTTAGTTTAGTTGATTCAATTGGGTTGATTTAAATTTTTTAATGGTGGATTATTGTAAGTACAGAAGTACTGAGTACAATTTTTTTCAATTAATATGATGGCTGTGAAATTTTGAAATACGTTACGTATTGTTTTTGTCTTTGTTACTCGTAAATTTTTAATCCTTATGAATTTATGATATTTACTCACCCATTGTATGATCGAAAATTTTAAATGCGTGTATACTCTACGTTCAATTTCAATGGTTTCATCTTCAAATTCATGTGAAGTATTATCGAGTGGATTCATTTGAAATTATTCGGATTTTTATTTTTAATTTTTATCGAGTGGGTTCATTTGATACTATTCGGATTTTTGTTTTTAATTTTTATCGAGTATGTTCATTTGAAATTATTCGGAATTTTTTACGTAAGAAAAAAAGAAAGAAATTATTGGGATTTTTTTTCTCCGTGTGTATTTAATACTATTACAAATGAGTTGTTTCATTGTGGCGTATATATTTTTGAAACGTAGCAAATTTAATGGGACATCTATTATAGAGCAATTTTAATGAAAGAGTGTTTGGCGTGAGGGATTTAGATAAAAGGATAAGATCGAATGATGATAAGAAATTGGTGATTGTAATTAAGAAAAAAAATATACAAAATAACTAAGGGTGAATACTAAATTCACCGTTTTAAATCTCTTGTTCTCTCCTCCTTCCTTTGAGGATTTTCACCAAACACATTTTCAAGGTAAAATTGAGACTACTCGTATTTTTTTTTAAAAAAATTTGTTTATGTGGCCATATGGTACAACAATATAAGTACACGAGCAATAAAAATAAAAAATAAAAAATTGTACCTTGTGCTTTGGAAACAAAAAAAAAAAAAAAAAAAATCTTGTTAAAGGTATTATTTATCTTTTCACCTTATGGTAAACACAGAAGACCATTGCATGTAGTAAATAGTACAAAGTACTCCTTAGCTTACAATACTTAAGAGGGTAAAAATATTACTCCACTATTTTATTGTTATTTTATCAGTAGTATCAAGTTAAGTTTAGCCTAAAGGTGAATTGTACTTTTCAACATTGAAATTAAGGTTTTAACCCTCTTTATAACAACTTGGTTGGTGGTATTCCTTTATCCAATCCTCCAATCGTAGTAAATTTAGTTTGTTCACTCGGGCTCAAATGAAAACAAAATAAGAGTGATTGTGGAGAAGGATTTTTGTGCTTAATTATTTGAACTAGCTTATTACGCCTTATAATAACTTATATATTTAGTTTGTAATTTAAAGTTTGATACCTCTTATCATAACTTAAATTAGTTGAAATGAATAGCGACTTTATCTATAACTTCAAGGTTATGAGTTATTATTTGTACTTAGGACTTTTTACGGTTGAGATTTTTCTTACTCTTTCTCCTATGTTTAAGAGTCCAACCTATGTACGTGGTAGTTGGGATGTTTTATCTGCGACAAGTCGTGATAGAGTGTTTCTTCTTACATATAAAATAAATAATAATTTACCATTTAGAATTGTTTATTAAGAATTATTGATAATAAGAGCGAAATATGTGAATTGTGTGATGCGGAGAATGAACCATGCAATTTAGTATGCCAAGACACGAAACTGAGTGGAAACAACAAACCAAGGCGGATGTCACGTGGGATGATGACTTGTGTTGTAGCTTTCAATAGCATGAAAATATGAAATCTTAGCCGTTTGAGAAAATTTCATAAAGTTATGTTTGGATAATCTTTTTTTCCTTTTCTATCCAACAAACACATTACACATGTGTCAATCTTTCTTATGGCCTTTGGAATTTTTTAAAGGTCAATTATGTACTTAACCCCTTTTTTTAATTTATATGATTGATATTAGAGTATCATATTATACTAATCAATTCCCACCTTAGCTTGACACCTCCCTAGCTTTGTGCTTAACAATGCATGTTACTTGACCAATCAAATCAACTTTCAATATTTTGTTGTCTTCTCTAAATGCTTTGTTTGGTGATCAATTGTTAGATTCACGTTTGATATCTATCCTAGTCTAGACCTACCGACCAAAACATTAATAAACTTGTACTCGCTGTATTTTTTTTAAGTAACAATGTGTTTTTACATATATTTTTAAACAATAGTTGTTTTTTTTCCTAACCGTAGAGGTAAATTTTTTAAGTAAAAAATATTCTGTTTATTACTTAATGAACAATACGCTTAAGAGCGCGTATTAGCACTTTCGTTACTCCCTTTTTAACTTCATGTTTAACTTTTTACGTTCTCCGAAACTAAAAAAAGTTCAACCTTAAGTTTGTTTTCATACTTGACATTACCAAAGAAGAATACTTGATAGTTTAATGTAGCTAATGTGGTTAATGTTGCTATCCGCCCTTTCCCGGACTCCAAAAAGGTAGGAAAAGCGAGCAAGGGGCAGCCTTATTGCAGTTCCTTCCCCCCCCCCCCCCCCAAGGGGCCTTCGGAGGGTAATGGTCCGATTAATCGGCTTTTAATTAGAGTAGAGGTTTCAGCAAGCAGAACCTACCACAGTCGCGAGTCTATTTATAGTCGCGACTGTTGTCATAGTCAACAAGGGCTTTTAGGCTTTCAGGAAAAAACTTCGAATTGAAAGGGCGATCCTCCCGGTGAACTGACCATACCCCAAACCGACACATGTGAGCAAGCGTCCATCTGGAGTCAAAGTTCCTGATGAATACGGAATGGCGAATAGTTTGGTTCCGCTTCAATTTCCTAGACTTACAAAAGAGAATTGTGAGAATTGGGCAATTAGAGCCTTGCTAATTGACAACAAATCTAACATGCAATGCAACTTAAACTATACTTAATACTTAATTATAATTTCTTGTCAACAAGAAAAAATCAATAGTCAAACATACTAGAATTGACCATGCAAAACTAATCAAAAAGTCATGTATGAGACATTGGCTTCATCAAGTATTAATTTGAACGTATATTAAGCTTAATACTTATATGAATTAGGACCACATAATTACAAGAGAGTAATTAGTAGTAGACACAGAAAAGTAGCTAGATAGGTGGTTGGATAAGCTAAAGGGGTAAGTTTTTGGGGATGAGATTGGGGCAGATAACCCATTTTCTCTCTCCTCAATAGGGCCCATTACCCGGGCCCATTTGGGTTTTACTCCTATTTATCACCCTTTCGTTTCTATGTCTAGACATGTCTTTTCCTTGAATTGATTGCAACAATATTCTTCATTCATATCTTATTATCTTTCATATGATGATATGACCATTTAGGTGAATTATCTAGAATAAATTAGATAGATATAAATGATTTTGATGTTTTTGAAGAGATTGTCTATTTTGCTTTTGGCTTTTATATGTATGATATTTGAAATTATTAAGGCAATAATGTACGATTTAATTCCAATATTATTGGTGTTAATTATTGCACTATTTGGCTTGATATGAAAAGATTGCAAACATTTGTAAATTAAATTTTAAACCTAATATGAATTGTATTTATGTTTATAATATAAACAAGATAATATCTCATGTTGTATTTATGGTCTACCTAGACTACTTTATACGAATCATGTCCATGCTAGTTATTATTTTATTGCCTAATATTGATCATCAAGTAAGTGACATGATCATGAATTTATAGTATGAATAAGTAATATAATAGTCAATATCGATTTTTCTTGACGATTTAGAATTAAAATAACAATTGTTTCTTCTTGAAAATCAATAAGAGTTAGAGCCAAATGAAAGATTTTAATGGGAGTTGTGAGAAAAAATTGACCAACTCCAGCGTCTCTTTTGCCTCCTTATTATACATTATTCTATCTTCTTGCAATGCATATATAGCTAAAGATGTTCGATTGTTCGCTCACCTTCAACTAAAAATTCATATCAAATTGTTGTGTATTTTAAGTGTTACTGATTTTGCAAAAGACTAGATTAGTACCACTGTACCAATAATAAAGTATTAAATGTGTGATGTATACCAACAAATAATTCCTTAATCTAAGCCTAGTTGATGCTAATAAGATTTAGAGATTGATATGGTACATGATGGTATAGTAATTAGCTGGATCATGTGATGTTTAGTCCCTTGCTTTTCTCTCACTCTTTAATTAATTTCTTTCTCTTTTGATGTTGTTTGAATCGTGTGATGACTTGTGCCTCGTCGCCTCCCCCTTTTCTTTCGTTCTCTCTTCTCCATTTCATTTTCTCTAACGCGATCTCTTCATTTTAGTATTGAATTAATTTCTTAATTCCTGATACAATTATAATAGACAAGAATAAATATATATTGTTGGTCATTTCCCACTTTAATACTTGTTTTAAGTTCAAAATGATGATTTAGGTTTGTGATTCTATGTTATACATCCTTTACCTTATATTGTAAAAGCAATTAGCAAATTTGGCAAATGACTTTAAAGCAAGCTTTATTTATTATTAGTTGTTGGCTTTTAGGTTGTCAACATGATCAAACAACCCAAAAATATATGCATGGTTAATACAATATACTCTCGTCTTCACTATCATAATAAAAATAAGAAAGATAATTTATACGGTTTTTGGCTAGCCTCCGAACTAAAAGTAGTAAATTTGGCAATACCATCTACATATCATCAACTTTTACCTATATCTATAACTAGCACTTTTAGTCATGTAACCAACAATTGTACCATACTACCATGTGTAATTAATAGTAAATACTTTTATGGACAATTACGTAGGAGTACTCTGTTCTATTAATGCGTTTAATTGAACTTTTTTAAACTTACTTGAACTTATTTTAATTATTAATTAAATTTGAATAATCTTTATAAACTCTTATCTAAATTTATTTCTACCTTTAATGAATCAGGCCTCAATAGAACAAGATAGCCAACACATACATATATATTAATACATAGCTAATACTTCAAATTGATCAAAAAAAAAAAAAAAAAAAAAAAAAAAAAAAAAAAACAACCATTAGCTCGCAAACAAGAATAATTCCTTATTGGTGCCAATAACCAAGATATCTATATACTTCTATATTTTTTTATTTTTTTTTGTCAATAATAGTATAAAACATTATTAATTCATGGAGTTAACATAAAATATAATTACACCACGGATTGAACGCGGCGAACAAACAGATTGAGAAATGATCTTATCGACAAAGATATCCGAAAGGATAAGAAAAAGTAAACATAGGTGTTACTAAACGATTAAACTAATACTAATCAAAAAACCAAGAGAATAACACCATTAAACTACTAATTCGATCTCATTATTATTATAATTAATCATATCAATAGTTTTAGTTATTTGATGATAGTAACTAGTACGAGTGCACTGCGTGTGAATCATAGGAATTTGCCTTTTACGGGTTGCGAAAGCGGAGTAGGTTGTTGTTAGCTTTTGGTCACCTGAGTGGGGTTCATCTAATTTCTAACATTCAACTTGATAATTAATTTTCAAATGTTTGTAGTTCTCACTCGTCAACAAGTTTGTCTGTCATAAATTCGAATGTATCTAGACTTATATTATCTCTAAAATAGAGTTTTAGACTTCATCTTTCATTACCATAGTCCATGTTACGTCGACTCTTTATTCAATTTTATTTATACCCGTGTTGGATATTCGACACTCTTACAAGGGTATGAAATTATTCTTATCTGACATTACTACTACTACTTCAACACCTCAATCATCTTTTTTTTTTTTTTTTTTTTTTTTTTTTTTTTAATTTTTATTTTTGAGAACACACTTCAATCATCTTGAACTACATAACCATATATAGTGTCTCTATATCTGAAATTTCTAACCTTGACGTATCAGATGCTTAGATATGTAACATTTTAACCACACCAATACTCGTATCCGTGTCTGAGTAATATAGCCAACACTCCTTTCTTATAACAACAAGCCGTAAATTTTCTGAATCTACCGTTTTACAACTTTAACTTTAAATGCACCTAACTTTAGATACACCCTTCGCAAGTATGTGACTAGTCTAAGTACTGCCGTACTAGTTCACCCTCCCTCGTCTCTTGACTTTTGTTTAGAGCTATAATGTAAAAAAGGGTATCGAACAAGTATCATAGTCACATAGCCACGTAGGGTTGGTTGATGAATAAAGAGAAAAATGGAGTATCTTTAAACATTATGATGGGTCGATATTTTGAATATTGAAGGAGGAATATAAGTTAGGTTTCATTGGTAGGAAGATTCGTGTATGCACTTTTAATTCTTTAACAGATGTATGGATTGAAGTGAATAATATTCGTGTTGTTGGGTCTTTCTTAGCACTTTGTTAGTTTTCAACCAATTTATCAACTCCCTACTTCTAGTACTACCAAATCTATCATATTGAGTTATACATTCGTTATATCTTGAACTATAGTTAAATAAAAAGGCCCAATTAGTGAAATCCTCGATAAATAAAAATAAAAATACAAATAAAATGAAAAAGAGAGAAATAACTGCATAAATTTTCTTAAATGATCATAACAAGGTCATCATGAAGTTTTTCCAATTAAAGATATCACTGATTTAAAGTTTCTAATTTATTAAATAACAAGCCATTATTGATAAACATTTACATAGATTGTATGTTATTACTTTTACATTATATTATAGTATCCTTATTGTATACAAGTATTTGGAAAAAAAAAAAAAAAAAAAAAAAAAAACTAACCAAAATTTACTAGTATACTTTAAGCATGGTAGCAGCTAGCTAGTGAGCTTCAAGGAGGAATTCTAAGAGAGCTATATGACAAATTTGCACCCAAAATTGACGATGGCCATGCATAATTCCATATGGAAATGAAGGGTGGAACTTTTACGATCTAGACAGCTAGAACAACAATAACATATATATATATATATATATATATATATATATATATATATATATATATATATATATATATATATATATATATATATATATATAGTTGATAGTAAAGACAAGGAGTTATGTGAGATCAAGACGTTGTATTAGAGGCGGATTATAACAGCTTAGAGGATCAAAGGGGGATTGGCGGATTGTTGCTAGCTCATGTAGTTATTAAGGGGGCATTTGGTTCGAAAAATGAAAACGGAGTGGAAAGGAAACAAATAAGAAGGGGGGAAAGGAATCATTTAGCTATTACCTTTTCATTTGTTTGGTTTAACCATGGAAATAGTATTTGTTAAAAGGAGGGAAAGGGTATTTGTTATCCCAAGTTTTTGAGAGGTAACAAATGAGGGGTAACCAATACCCCTGATTAATGGTAATTATTACCATGCCTTCAAACCAAACACACGGTAACGATATCGGTTTAATTGAATTCGTTTCTAAACCATAAAATACACTAACCAAACGCCCTCTAAAAGTTTATGCCAGTATGAATAAGATGACTTCAGTAGTTAAGATTTAACAGCAGAGGGGAGCAAATTTTTTTGAAAATTTGTTGACTGTCAAAATTTCATCTTTACCAGATTATCACTTGTGATAAATTTGACTGGTAAAAAATTATGGAAAATGGGCTGGGGCTTGGGTTACTCTTATGCTGCATTGTTGAAGCCTCTGCTGGGCTCTCCAGGACAGCGCTCAGTGTCGGATGGCTGGTGCTATAGCGTATAAAGCCTGCTGACCAGGTCTGAGTGTCTCAGGCCGCCTGTGGCGCTACTGCTCGTCTGCCTCAGTTGCGGGCTGGGTGTGCTTTGTGAGCCATTAAGGTCTTATATGTCGGTTATTTTTTTCCCCCTTTACATGATCCTAATGTGTTTTTTTTTTCCCCCCCTTTCCCTTACCTTTTTCCTTCCCTTTTCTAATTTTATTGATTCTTCCAAGCATTAAGTAATAATTTTCGTCAAAAAAAGTAACACTTTTCATATAAATAATATAAGTTCAGCAAATGTAATTGAAGTGAACAAAGCCTAAGACGATAGTTACTAAGTAGGCATTTAAGACTTTTGTACATCGACAATGAAAATGAGTTTAAAGAGTTGTGTATCATTCCTCAAAGAAGACGGAGAACATGTTAGAGCAAAATAGTTGGAATGAAGTTTTTGGGTTTTCATGAAGATTATAAGGTTTTGATCTACCAACTTTTTCATTCCGGTCTCAATATTCCTTTGGGTCTAAATGAGCCCACGTAAATATATATGCGTGAGAGAAATTTGTCTCAAGAACAACCTAGGATTGGTAAAAATGTAGAATAATAAGATGAGGATTTGTTTTATCTTTATAGGCTGATGAATTCGAGTTATTAGTTGATATATGAGATGTATGAAACATATAGGTACGGAAGTAATGGGACTACGCTGCAACGAAAGATGCGGAGATATTTAGCAGCAAGGAAGGATGTCCGACGAAGAATAGAAAGAGAAAGGACGATTCAATGTGATGTCAAGTGTTGTGAGCAGATAAATGAAACACGGGATCGTCTATTTCAATCTGCACTCCGTCTGAAAGTTTAATGTAAATGACTTTTGCCTATCACATAAGAGTTTTGGAGGATGCAGGAGTACAGTGAAGGATTTGCTGATGCAGCAAACTTGTGGGAGAGCTGTTCGGAGACAATTACTGAAATGTAGAACTGCTCTGCAGCTCCGATCATTTACATTGGGGCCTAGTTTGAGAATCATCGATGGTTGTTGACATGTTCACTTGAATTAACAAAGTATACGAAGATTTTGCTATGCTTTCCAATGACATGTCCATCGGTAAGCAGGTCATTGATAAGCATAGCAAAATTGTTCCGTATGCTCTGAAGTCAAGGAAATGATCGAATCTGATCTCAAGAGTGAGTTGTGATTTGTGAGTAGGACTTAGAAAACTTAGGCTTCCATTGACAAAAGAGAGGGTTTGCAGAGAGGAGAGAAGAAAGAGCGAAGGAGAGAAATTCTGAGTGTTGAATCTTTAATCAGGGTCTACAAGGATTAATTATAAGTCTGTTAGGCATACTAATTCACATGACATCTACACTCTAACCAACTCTCTAAAAATAGAAAATCACTAATCATAGGATACCCACATCAATAGATGCAGTATGATTAATGATGAATACTCCGTATTTGATTAGTCTCTCGTAATTAATTTACAGTAAGGGATGTTTCAGTTAGAGCTGTGCGTCATTATATACTGGAGTGTACAGCAATGAATTAATTCAAAACAATAGACCAGTGAAATAAATACTTCGAATATGCAAAATCGCTTGCAAAAAATGTTACAAATAATGATTCTCCCAAAATTATTTCCCAAATCCCATCCTATTTCCCCGTCTTTATGTATACTGACCATTCATATGAGAACCAGACGTTCTGAAAAATCAATATATAAGCAACCTAAGAATAAGCCAGAACAAGCATTCTTGTTCCAGTGGTAATTTACATTAGGTTCGATTCCTAATTCTCCTTACTCGTTTAAAAGAAGAAATTTGGAATACATAATAGAACTACTTATTGGCTTGAGGTTCTTAACAAAGGTATAAACAGTAGAAGACTATGACTGATATATGAAGTGCTCAGTATAAAGTTCCTATCAGTTCTACATTGCCTTAAAAAAAGAATTTTAAACTGTTAACATTAGGCTATCTCAGTCAACAATAGTTACATGTACTGTTTGTTGGATGTTCAAAGGTAGTTTGTCACCTAATCCGAATAACTTCCTCAGTGTCTATTAAATAGAGTAAGTTACACTTTTGATCTTTCCCATATTATTCTATACTCGCAGTCCTTGATAATACGGAGTATCAAGAACTAAAAACATACGGAAATCTAATTACGACGGATGAAACATAAAACTCTAAATGCAGGAGCTAGTGTCTCAGATACAATAGTACAGATAGATACATCATGCCCCTTACCAATTAGGTAAAGAGCTGAGCATCCTTCATCCTATTCCAAACTACCAGTGTTTCAAGTCCTTGTCAATGCCTCATCATCCTCGTATACTATCAAGATGCAATACAAAATTCTAGCCTTGTATACTAATTCCTACTTAAAGTCTAAAAAATTTCCCATATGCATTTTGGTGCAAAGGAGACTTCAACAGTTATATTACTTCTAAGTAATCACACTTGAAGAATAATCCAACCCCACCATTTCCCAGGAAAAAGATCAGTGAACTCTAAGCCAAGAAATCAAGTATGCATATATATCCATTTTATGCAGCTTATCTAGCACATAGAACCTACAAAACCTCTAATAAAATAATCTAACCTCAAAATGTTTAGTTCATGGCATGTCATCTCATATTTTCTCTTTGTTAGCTTCAAATTTTGCCTAGCAGACAATGATAACCTCCAAGATATCTGCCCAGCAGCCACCCCAACTTCAAAAACTTGTCACACCGCAATTTTCATCAATGGCCTTCCCTGCAAAAACCCAGCAAATATAACAGCCTCAGATTTCAAAACCTCATACCTCAAACAAGCTGGGGATACCTTTAACTTCCTTCGATCCTCTACAAACATAGTGACTGCAGCCGAATTCCCAGGCCTCAACACCCTGGGCCTCGGAATGGCTAGGACTGATTTGGAGGTAGATGGTATCGTGACCCCACACTCTCACCCTCGGGCTGCAGAAATACTCTTTGTAAGCAAAGGGGTTGTTACAGTCGGGTTTATTGACACCAAAAACCAGGTGTTTCAGAAGGTTCTAAAAGAAGGTGATGTGTTCATTGTCCCAAAGAGTATGCTCCATTTCTGCTTCAATGCTGGATTTGAGTTTGCCACCATTTTTTCTGTCCTTAACAGCCAGAACCCAGGTCTAATTGACATATCAGGGGCCGTGTATGGTTCTAGCTCTGAGGCTGCCACAAAAATGAAGGAAAGAATGGCATCTTTTTCTTCTCAGAAGGCTAATTATGACACCTCCCAAACAACAATTTCACAACACACAGAATTATAAGATGGGCTTAATTGCAATGTATATTAATCATCTTGCGTTTCTTTTCTTGGGGTGTGCTTGTATGAAAGTGCGCATCTCCCAATGTATAGTATAATTATGGCTTGAAATTGTAAGGTTGAATTTGTATGCCTAATTACATTTTTTACAGATATAAGAGGACACAAATTTTTTACTCTCTGTATCTTACATACGAACATGACATTCTCCAAACCCACTTTGCAGCATGGTGATGGAAGATAATGAAAAGCAACAGCCTGGTAAGAATATCTACAAAGGGATTGATGTGCAGTTGCACGTACCCCCTGTTAAACTTGGTGAAACAACTAGAAACTCTTCTTAATCCCCTCCAAACCTCAATCAGGGGCATGTTTGCCTGTTTGATCAAAGGGCTATATTTAATTGACTATAGCACCATAGATCCCAATGAAAGAGAGCTTCATTGACTATGGTACAGGTTATGAACCTTAAATTAATACAACACATGAAACATCATACTCCACCACACCACCAGTCAATTTCAACAACTTCATCTATCCTACTATGTGTGACTTTGAAGACCCATAATCATAAACTTCACCCAAGTCTTGGAGGTGGCTTCGTTGTCAGAAAATCTCTCTAAAACTAGCTAATTTTCCATCCAAAGTTCTATCATACTTTGTATATTTACCTTGACCCTAACTCAACAACCATATACATTTTTTAAAAAAAAAAAAAAAAATCGCAAATTGAGGAGAAACAAAAGGGAGAATTGTCACCATCACCAATTAATATTTTTTGTCAAGCAGACACGTTAATGCTTATGTCCATATATTAGCCACTGAATTAACAGTTCTAACCATCAAACTTCTATTCAGAAGATGACCAACAGCCATATATTACAATAATCACAAAGATGGATACCAACTGACAAGATCTGAGGAAACCATGTTCAGCATAATCTCAAACTTACCAGGTCAAGACTACAATAAACAAAAAGGCAATAAAAACATCTTCATTTAAGTGTTTCAATTAACTCATCTTATTTAGAAATAAATAAACACAACTAGCCAAAGTAGAGGCCATGAGCCATATGTACAGCAATGTCCATAAGCACTGGTGTACTTGATCAAAAGCAATGACAATGCTTTCGTCTTTTTACCAAAAATAAGCAAACAATACATATTCAACTTCACAAAGTGAATCATCACAATGATGTATAAATCCAAAGTCACTCATAGGATGATTAAGAAAATTAAAAGAATTCCGATTGATTCTAACAAGAGATCGGCATATGCTTTTATTTGAAACATACAAGCTACTCCAACTAAAGAATGATAATTTTCTTCTACAAAGAGCGAACCGCCTGAAATCACACAGCTGTAAGATAAAAACTCAGTAGACTAACCTCAGCATTAAAAGATTATATCCTCATCCCTCTCCGAGCCAGCCAATATATCATGAGCTGCATTGACTGATATTCCTCTCTGCAAAGAAATTCTTTCCACTACCTGGTCCTCCGCAAAAAGCCTTGCAGCCGCAAGCTGTTTCTCAATCTCCTTCTTCTTGAAACCCTGAATCTTCTTCAACCTGAAAAAGTCCTCTCTTTCCAGCTCATCCAACTCTCCCTTGATGTAGCTAATGGTGTTTTCCAACCTTGGTTTCACAACATTTTCCAGAGCATTCACCCTACGGTTTGTAGTCTTGATAGCTTCATCAAGTGTCAAAAACGAAGTTTGAAGAGAAGCTAGCTCAACAAGAACCTCAATGGCTTTTATATAGGCGCCACGGCACAGCTGCACTTGCTGGCCACCTCTAGCCAATCCAGTAAGATCATTTTTGGTGTCTCCCTCTGTGAAGTACTCAAACTTGGGGAGCTTCACCCCAGCAACATTTTCTTGCCGAGAACGAACCTTAAGGGATGCATTTTGGACATTCTCAAGGACAACATGTTTAATATTATCTCCAGCAACATATTTGGCTTCAGTTAAGGAAAATGCAGAGTCTTTCATAATATCCCCCATAGATTCCTTTGTAGACACAATCTTCTTAAGAATTGCACGGAACTGCACAGTCAAAGCATCACTCTTCTTCTTCAAGAGAGCATGGCCTCTTGTAGCACCAATAAGACGGGCTTTGATAACCCCAAGCACGGTAACTGTTGGCACTACATTGAGACGCTGGCCTGAACCCGCCATCTTAAATTATAAAGAATTTTACAAGGCCTACATTGTTCAAATTAAGGCAATCAGGGTACAAATAAACATCGATATCGGTTCTCGATTTAATAATGTCTCCCAAGATCTATGCTTGCATTCTTATCTTCTTCCCAAATCATATCTTCTAGCTAAGATTAAGGGTTTATCATAATAATCCATGAAATCATTGATGATGCTAGACCAAAACACAAATATAATCAGACAAATTTAAACATAAACATTCCGATGAAATTAAAGAAACCCAACATAAATTTATCCAAATCACCCCAAATAAGATCAATCATTAGACCTAACTGAATCAACAAAATCACACAATTACAACACATAAACCAACTAATCAAATTCAATACGATCAACAAATTTAATTCAATTCCCACAAATTCTAAACCGACAATAATAATTGAAACTAAAAATTACAAACCCTAATTCCCCACTAGATCAATCAATCAATCAATGAACCTAGTAGCGTATATAAGGGGGGTTTCAGTGGGATCAAATCATACAAAAATTGAATTCGAAAGAGTTAAAGCAAAGAGAGAAATTGAGAAAAGAAGGGAATTACCTAACAACGGAATAGAATTTCTGGAAAAGTTTGATCTTGAAATCCAGAAATTGGGGGAAAGAGGAAGGAGGAATTGAAGAAGACGAAAGAGAGTTTGGTTGTACGCGAGTGCTGATCTGGGTTCTGCGATTTGGTTGAGGAGGTGTAAGACAATGTGGTTTTTTTTTTTACTCCTTAACTGACTTAATCATTGATCTCTCGGTGAATGACGAAGTTAATCGATTGTGGTGTTTCGAAATAGTCCCTCTGTCACTTTTCTATGGTTAGGTTTAGTATTTTACGTGATTATTAGGAAGTGTAAAAATTTTGGCAATAGATTAGTATTCTATTTTAATCGTTACAAGTTTTAAAAATGCAAATAAGTACTTCCTCCATTTTTTTAAATGTTTCATTGGGGATTCGTGCTAAGGAAAAAAATAAATAAATAAAGTTGTAGGTTGAATAGTACTCCTTGGTTGATTCAAATATGCATCTACTCAAATTGGAGACTTTGATTGTATCTTAACTAGTTGATTCTATGTAAAGAGACAAATAATAAAGGTTCTTGGTCAAAAAAATATTATAATATTTACCCACGTCAAGATAAATTTCTACAAAAAAGAGACTCACTAATGAATGTTTATAAATTATACTTAAGGAAAAAAAAATATAGTCTTATTGGTACTTGTTAGAATCATCTCAATGAGTAGATTATTAATATTCAATTGTTATAATTTACAGTTATTGATAATTAAAGATATTATTGGTCAAAATTTTACATCGGCATGCATGTCATGTCACTATGGAGCACTTAAAAAACACAAAGGGGGTATGAAGTATGATTTTTTATAAAGGGATTTGGTGAGTCACAAGGACGGGTGATAAAAATCAATCTCATGATCCTCTGAAACTTAGAGAGAAGCTCTAACAAACTAAGATGTCTCTCATTCACTCAAAATACAATTATGATATAATACTTTCTTTGTTCATTTATAATTGACATGATTCTCTTATCACGTTTGTCAAAGTACAAGTTCAACAATTAATACACTAATCACATAAATATGTTTTATCATAATTATAGATGACAAAATTTAGTTAAAGGAAAGTTTTTGAATAGTGTCAAATGTTAAAATGTGTCAACAAAAGAACGCAAGAAGTAGATGATTAATTAGTTTAATTGGTTAAAGTTTTGAGCGATGGTACTCAAGGCTTAGGATCAAATTTTGTGTATATCATTTGTCCTTAGAATTTTTTTTATATATATGTGTGTTAAATATATTTTATAAAAAATAGTATAATTAAGTTTGGAATTTATAGCCAAATTATGCATCATGCTATAAATTCTTAATATTTTTGTATAGCTACATTTATCATTATCTTGGAATTTACGATTGTAATTGTTGAATAATGATTATACCATCGCAAAAATCTTGATTTGTTTTGCTTGTCAACGAATTGATGCTACTCTCTTTTGGTTACGGTCTTAGTAGTTTTTAAAAAAATTGCATAAACATGCTTATTAAAATAATAATTGAACGGTTTAAACCTCTAAAATAATGGCAATTACATATATATTTCCACGTGAATCATCCACATTGAGCCCTTAACAATGACATTACACTACATCGTAACTAAAAAAATATTTTTTATTAAAAAAAGTTAATAACCCTCATGTTATGCGGTTGCCACGGTTTGAAATACGGTATGTTTTCCTATCTTAGGACAAAAAACTTGCCAAGCAAGATGTAATAGGTTCAAGGGGTATCATGTCCACGAGGAATAGCTTGTCAAGCAAGATGTATTAGGTTCAAGGATGACTATAAGTCTAAGCTAATTTAGATATTTAAACACTTAGTACCAATTAATAACTCTCTCTAAAAATCGGCTTCCATCATTCCATGTGGCTATCATTGGTTATGTAAATGCCAATGAACATCGCTCTCTAATAAAGTAATACCTAGTATATCCTCACCACAATTAAAATATCTAAAATTTTACTGAATTCCTAATCTCATCGATGTAAAGAATGGAATCCCAACTGTCTAAGAGCTCTAACTCTAATTTGCATAACAACTAGCTTAAATTCCGTGCCACACACGGTTTTACAAATTATGTAATGAAAAATGTTAATTCTATTATACGCAATTTTAACTACCAAAAGTTTTTTTTTTAGAAGCAGAAGAAGAAGAAGAAGAAAAAAAAACCCATCAATTTAAATTAATTTGTAACCATAACAAAGACATTAATTTATTAATGCATTAGACTTTATACACAAAAAAATAATTTAGGGATTATGAGGTTAATATCCTTTTTTTATTGACACCCATTGACTGATAAAACATTTAATACAAATTAACTAATTTTTTACATTACTTTGTTATAATTATAATCAATCTTTTTAATTAATAATTACTGAATACTATAGATCGATTATAATGGAATGAATATTTGACAAAAAAAAAAAAAAAAAGTCGAAACACATGTAATTTTTGATTCGCTTTTTGTATAGATAAATTGGAGATTCGAAGGAATAATATATGATGTATTTTCCTATTTAAAGATATGACATAATATTATATAAGAATATGAATATTTTGATATATTTTGTATAATATAAATGGCATGAATCTTTTTTATTGTATAAAAAAATATGGTGTTCAAATAGGAAGGTTATATTATAATATTATGCTAAATATAACTCTGAGAAGTTTTGACAAAAAAAAAAAAAAAAAAAAAAAAGTTTTGGAGAGGAAAAACTGCACCAACGAATGACACGTGTCTATTTTAGTATTATGTTATTATTATTATTATTATTATTATTATTATGTTATGTTATCGATGATATATTTGTGTAGTTATTAAGATTTCCTTAAACCCTCTCTCAAAAGAGGTTTGTGATCATGCTCCTCCTCTCTCCTTCACGAGCTCCTTCATTGACGGTTATGGTAGAGATTTGTGGACCTTGGGCCTAGAAGTGAATATGGAAATTAATTAGTGGGCTTGTCAATGTAAGTTGGACCAATAAATTGGATCAAAAAGACAAAATCAACAAGGCAAGGCAAATTGCAAATAAATGTGGCCTAAAATACATCTAATCTAGTATGCTATAATTATCAACCTTATATGAAAGCAAGAATTTAAAAATTGCCATAGAATTCATGCATGAAGGCTACTTTTGTCACCTAAAACCAAAACCTCTCAAATCATAATTTCATATAACGTAGAAA